CAGGGATTTGTGCCTGGTCAGGTATTTGGAGTAAATCCTTCGCGTCCGACTCGTTAAAATAAATAATCTTAGTCCAGTTCGAGGTGAGTAATAGCTGTTCTGATATCCAGAAGCTCATGGCAGATATCCAAAAGACGGTGGCAGAAACATTATGTACAAAATAAGTTACAAATTACATGAGAAAACACACAAAATAGCACAATTGGTTAAGAGCCTGTAAAAACGCAGCCATCTCCTCCGGTGCCATTATCATTTCCCTTTCATTATCCTCCGGCGCCATTTAGTGGCATAATTAAAAATCAGTAAAGCTGTGAGAGACTGTGGCTTTGTCCCAAATGGCACCCTATTCCCTATATAGAGCACTACTTTAAAAAAAAGAAGTGCTCTATATAGAGAATTGTGTGCCATTTGGGAGGCAGACTGTGAAAGTGTGAAAGTGTCTCCCTTTACCCTCCGCCCCCTTGCTCAACACCAGTCTCTCAAACTACTGATGCATCATGGGATTCCTCCCCTCTAATTAAACATAACATTTTCTCACTGTCAGGTTACTTCTGAATAGGATGACAAATATTTTGAGTAAGCAGTTTCCTAATATGGGGAGTTGCTAACATGTAATTTGCTGTTGTTGATGTTGTTGTGACATAATTATAATTATTTGCGGTTACTTCATGTAACCGCATGAAGTAGGTTTCTTTCAGCATTTTAGATCTGTGGCACTCCCTTATGAACCATAAGTAAGCTATGTCCGAGCCAGAGTGGTCCATAGGGCAGGAGCCTTTCTCCTGTTTCTGTAGCGTGAAGCAGCTTGATGTACAAGTTCACCCCCTGGACAGAACCAGAACATCTGTAGGTTGCAGTGTACTGTACAGCCTTCGTATTACTTTCTCCCAATGATTTACTTTGAGAGAGGCAGGGGCAGAGGCAAGGTATTTCAGTCTCAATGTCCCAGAAGGGGGCTAAAAACATTATTTATATAAATCAGGGCTTCATTAGAGTGTTAAAGCCAGCCCTCTTGTCCCCGGTGGGATTATTGTGCTACTTAGTACCTACCTACCCTGACACATCTAACCCAGTAATACCACACACACACACACACACACACACACACACACACACACACACACACATACACACACACACACACACACACACACACACTGGGGTCTGAGTCTGATCCTCAGAGAGGTATGTGTGCAGTCTAAGGGTAATGTACCACACCAGAGGATGAATTATAATGACTTTGAAACGCAAGGCTTCGGGCCAGACTCGCCTATGTTTCTTTAAGGCAAATAGACAGTGAGAGCTTCAGTTCCACCACTGTGTGTGTGTGAGAGTGTGTATGTGCACGCATTTGTGTGTGTGTTTCAGAATCTAATAAATAAGACTTAACTGTGAAATGCTTACTTACGAGCCCTTTCCCAACAATGCAGAGTTCAAAAGTAAGAAAAAATGTATACAGTTGATGTCGGAAGTTTACAAACACCTTAGCCAAATATATTTAAACTCTGTTTTTCACAATTCCTGACATTTAATCCTAGTAAAAAATTCCATGTCTTAGGTCAGTTAGGATCACCACTTTATTTTAAGAATGTGAAATGTCAGAATAATAGTAGAGAGAATGATTTAGTTCAGGTTTTATTTATTTCATCACATTCCCAGTGGGTCAGAAGTTTACATACACTCAATTAGTATTTGGTAGCATTGCCTTTAAATTGTTTAACTTGGGTCAAACGTTTCGGGTAACCTTCCACAAGCTTCTCACAATAAGTTGTGTGAATTTTGGCCCATTCCTCCTGACAGAGCTGGTGTAACTGAGTCAGGTTTGTAGGCCTCCTTGCTCGCGCACGCTTTTTCAGTTCTGCCCACACATTTTCTATAGGATTAAGGTCAGGGCTTTGTGATGGCCACTCCAATACCTTGACTTTGTTGTCCTTAAGCCATTTTGCCACAACTTTGGAAGTATGCTTGGGGTCATTGTCCATTTGGAAGACCCATTTGCGACCAAGCTTTAACTTCCTGACTGATCCGGGCTCTTCGCTGGCCATGGCAGAACACTGACATTCCTGTCTTGCAGGAAATCACGCACAGAACGAGCAGTATGGCTGGTGGCATTGTCATGCTGGAGGGTCATGTCAGGATGAGCAGCAGGAAGGGTACATGAGGGAGGAGGATGTCTTCCCTGTAAAGCACAGCACTGAGATTGCCTGCAATGACAACATGCTCAGTCCGATGATGCTGTGACACACCGCCCCAGACCATGACAGACCCTCCACCTCCAAATCGATCCCGCTCCAGAGTACAGGCCTCGGTGTAAAGCTCATTCCTTCGACGATAAACGCGAATCTGACCATCACCCCTGATGAGACAAAACTGCGACTCGTCAGTGAAGAGCACTTTTTGGCAGTCCTGTCTGGTCCAGCGACGGAGGGTTTGTGACCATAGGCGACGTTGCCGGTGATGTCTGGTGAGGACCTGCCTTACAACAGGCCTACAAGCCCTCAGTCCAGCCTCTCTCAGCCTATTGCGGACAGTCTGAGCACTGATGGAGGGATTGTGCGTTCCTGGTGCATCTCGGGCAGTTGTTGTTGCCATCCTGTACCTGTCCTGCAGGTGTAATGTCGGATGTACCGATTCTGTGCAGGTGTTGTTACACATGGTCTGCCACTGTGAGGACAATCAGCTGTCCGTCCTGTCTCCCAGTAGCGCTGTCTTAGGCGTCTCACAGTACGGACATTGCAATTTATTTCCCTGGCCACATCTGCAGTCCTCATGCCTCCTTGCAGCATGCCTAAGGCACATTCACACAGATGAGCAGGGACCCTGGGCATCTTTCTTTTGGTGTTTTTCAGAGTCAGTAGAAAGGCCTCTTTAGTGTCCTAAGTTTTCATAACTGTGACCTTAATTGCCTACCGTCTGTAAGCTGTTAGTGTCTTAACGACCGCTCCACAGGTGCATGTTCACTAATTGTTTATGGTTCATTGAGCAAGCATGGGAAACAGTGTTTAAACCCTTTACAATGAAGATCTGTGAAGTTATTTGGATTTTTACGAATTATCTTTGAAAGACAGGGTCCTGAAAAAGGGACGTTTCTTTTTTTGCTGAGTTTTATAAATATATATATATATATATATATATATATATATATATATATATATATATATTATATACAGTACCAGTCAAAAGTTTGGACACACCTACTCATTCAAGGGTTTTTCTTTATTTTTACTATTTTCTACATTGTAGAATAATAGTGAAGACATCAAAACTATGAAATAACACATATGGAATCATGTAGTAACCAAAAAAGATGAGTTGGAGTGCAGAGTGAAGGAAAAGCAGCCAACAAGTGGTCAGCATATGTGGGAACTCCTTCAAGACTGTTGGAAAAGCATTCCAGGTGAAGCTGGTCGAGGGAATGTCAAGAGTGTGTAAAGCTGTCATCAAGGCAAAGGGTGGCTACTTTGAATAACCTCAAATATAACATATAATTTGATTTGTTTAACCTCTTAAGTATCAGACCCTTTTTTTCAATTTTCGCCTAAAATGACATAACCAAATCTAACTGCCTGTAGCTCAGGACCTGAAGCAAGGAAATGCATATTCTTGATACCATTTGAAAGAAAACACTTTGAAGTTTGTGGAAATGTGAAATTAATGTAGGAGAATATAACACATGCAAGAGAAAGGCCACAATATAATATTGCAGTTGTGGTGAAATTTAGATTTTGGCCACTAGATGGCAGCAGTGTGTGTGAAAGTTTCAGACTGATCCAGTGAAGCATTGCAATACTGGACTATTTTCTATCAAGTCTGCCCAAATGTGCCGAATTGGTCAATTGATACATTTTCAAGTACATAACTATAAAGAACATACAAAAATGATATGGTAATACAAAATGTAAGTTTACACTCTCCCAGGAATGTCATACATGATGGACCATTAGCTTATACACTAACTTTCACACATCTAGATGGCCGGGCGGAGTGGGTGTGGAGCCAGAGACAGCAGGGGTTTAAACTGTAGAACCCAGTTCCTACATTTGAATATAAAAATTGATTTTATCAAACAAAACGATGCTACATTTTATCTCTGGGACCTTTAGGATGACAAATCAGAGCGAGATTACTGAATGTAAGTAAGTACATTATTTACCTTCAGAGGTGAATGTATCAAACCAGTTACCGTGATAAGTTTTTTGTTGTTACGGGACACCGATCCCGTAGAGGTTAACACTTTTTTGGTTACTACATGATTCCATATGTGTTATTTCATAGTTTTGATGTCTTCACTATTATTGTCCAATGTAGAAAATAGTAAAAATAAAGAAAAATCCTGGAATGAGTAGGTGTGTCCAAACTTTTGACTGGTACTGTATATATTTAAAAAATATATTTATATGGTGGATTGGAAATTATGCAGACAATTACATTGATGGAAGCTACAATCTATCTGCAATATTAAAGCTGACATCCCCCCCCAAATAAAAATAAAACATATATAAAAGAAAATAAATTAGTACGGGTTGCCATTTCATTAACTGTTCAGCAGTCTTATGGCTTGGGGTAGAAGCTGTTCAGGAGCCTTTTGGTCCCAGACTTGGCGTGCGATAGCAGAAAGAACAGTCTATGAATTGTGTGGCTGGAGTCTTTTACAATTTTTAGGGCCTTCCTCTGACACTGCCTGGTATAGAGATCCTGGATGGCAGGGAGCTCGGCCCCAGTGATGTACTGGGCCGTACGCACTACCCTCTGTAGCGCCTCGCAGTCGGATGCCAAGCAGTTGCCATACTAAGTGGTGATGCAGCCAGTCAAGATGTTCTCAGTGGTGCAGCTATTGAACCAACCTACTTAGAATTCTACAAATGTTTCACACTGGCTTTGAAATGCAAAACCCAAAATATGTTTAATACAGTACAGCGATACAATTATAAAAGAGAATACGCTGGTATCTCCTCCTTAGTTTAATAGATTTTCTATTAACAGTTTCCCACTGACTCACCTATGAGTGTGGAGCGTCCTTCTCCCAGGGGGTAGCGCTGGTAGCGCGGCATGGGGAAGGGGGGCAGCTTGTGGAAGAGGGGCTCCAGCAGGGGCTCTAGTCTGGAGGCAGAGGGGTCCGAGGGATAAAACAGGTTGAAGATCTGGGTGCAGGCAGGACGGAGTTGACTCACTGAGAGACACGACAGCAGACAGCAGAGATTAGGGAGCGCTTGTGAACTCATAAATTATAAGGCTTGTGTGTACAAAATGTGTAATGTGATGTGTGGGAAAGGTAGCCCTCTACATATATTTGTAGTCTAGAAAGGCTTTAAAAAGCTGCATCTGCTGTATGTAGTACAATTATGAAGTAGTGGACTTTTCAAGCAAAATAAGTATGAAGATCGATCTGGTCCATCAGAGAGGTAGCTAAACATTGTGGGGAAGGTGTTGCATCAGGGACTGCCTAGACACAGAGGTGTGTGAGAAGTGTGTGTGTTTCTCTAACAACATCTACCCTGGACAGCAGGCAGTACGGTGCGTCTCATGGCCAGCACCAGGCCCAGTGGACAGCCCAGCAGGAAACATTCGGAAACCTCAAAGTCAAACCTCCCTGGGTTCAAAATCAGACTACTGCTGCTGCCGGGACGCAGGTCCACCCCCTCCTGCATCAGACTGGGAGAAGGGGAAGGAGAGAGGGAGGTGCAGAGGGATGGATGGAAGGAGAGAGGGAGGTGAAAGAGAAGAGGGAGGTAGAGAGAGAGAAAAATGACAAACCAAATCTACAAATGTTGCAATCCCTGTAGAAAAACAGAAAGAGAGAGGCGAGGGAGGCTGACTCGAATTGAAATACAAGCCTGCATCTCAATCACTCAGTATAATGGATTTTGACTACTCAGTCCACTGTGTGTGTCCTGAGTGGGCAGGTAAAATAACAGGTTGGTTGAACATGTGTGTGGTAAGCATGTTATCTGGGAGAGGAGACTGGGGCTTTAGTAAGGCCCTAGCCCATTCTGACTCAGTCTGAAAAGCTCTCCTCTCTCTCCCTGGTAGAGCAGAGAGACGGATGGGGCTTGCGGATGTTTAAACAGCCAAGCTGGCCTTAAACCTACTGCCTGGCTATAACTCTACAGACCCTGAAGTTGTAGAAGACCTCTTGACCCTCCAGCCCAACCAAAACTAACACTTCCACCACTAAGGCCAGCATGGAGAGAAGGATTATGGTATGTGGCCAGCCTAAGATGGAAAATCAATCCGCCTTGGATTGCCGGCTGCTCTCTTTGTCTTTCGTCTTCCCACTGCCTGCCTCTCTCACTTGCTCTAACTTCTGACCTCCTTTCCTGCCCTCCATTAATCCACCTCTTTCTGCTGGGGTCTGAACGACACAGGCTGTCGTCTCATTGGCCAAGAGAGAGATAGAGTTAGAATGAGAGAGTGAAGGAAAGAGCGAGAGAGAGATTCAGATTCAGAAAACGTTAATGTCCTCAGAGAGGCAATTCATTTTGCAGCAGTCATAGAACATATCACATATAAAAAAGGAAAAAACTAATAGCAAAGGATATTTACAAGGCAGTAGGCAGGGTAAATGCAATTTCGTAGTGCAAGTGGTAAATTGCAATTAGTCCAACACTTTGTAAAGATGCAGAATTGTATTCGGAATAAAAGAGTACTTGGCCCTATTTTTTTTTAACCTTAGGTAGTCTGTACCTGCGGCCAGAGGGAAGGAGCTGGAATTCGAAGTGGAATGGGTGGGAAGAGTCAACCCCTATTTTATTCGACTTCTGGAGGGCTCTGCCCAGGTACAGAGATGACAGTTCTTGCTGTTGCTGCCCCACAATTTTTCCGCAAGTCCTGACTATCCTGCCCAACCTATTTTTCTGTGCAACCTTCATATTCCCAAACCAGTAGGTCAAACAGTAGGACAGAATGCGCTCAATGAATGAGAACCATGATGGTTAGATTAACATACAAAAGTGCAGTTTCCGTAGGAAATACAGTCTCTGTTGGCCTTTCTTAAAAATAGCGTCAGTACACTGATCCCAGGACAGTTTGTTGTCAATGACTAGCCCAAGGTATTTGCACTCCTCCACTATTTCGATGGGCTCACCTTTTATCAGTGATGGTGTGTGCATGGTCGTGTTCCTTCGAAAGTCAATCACCATGTCCTTTGTTTTTGATGAGAGAGAGAGAGAGACAAGGAGAGAGAGAAACTCTCTGTCCGATCACGACTCCAACAGAGGAAGGAGAAAAGGCTTTTGTTGTTAGCAGAGTACCTACTGGGAAATTCCCTGGTTGAGGTGGAAAAGGAAGCTCCTGACACGCAGGTGACCCGGAGATAGGCAGTCTTCCCAGAGGCTCCTGATGTGTGGGCTGATGCCTGGGAATCACAGCTCTAATAATAACCTAAACTGAGCCAGAGCAGAGCCCTCCCTGTGACCGGGCGGTGATGCCCTGTGGGAAGGGCCGGGGGGAACTTTCATCCTCCTCCTCCTCCCTCCTCCACACTGCTGAGCTGACTGGGGTTTTATTGAAGAGAATAACAAGCAGGGGGAGAAGACGATAAGAGGTGCGTCACCATGGACACGCTACGGAATCAGTGTGAACAAGTCAAATCTCTGAGAGAGTAGTGCTGAGTCCCAAATGGCATCGTATTACCCATATAGTGCATTACTTTTGACCAGAGCCCCACGAGTAGTGTACTAAATAGGGAATAGGATGCCATTTAGGATGCAGCCTAGGTTGCCAGGGATCTGGCTACTGTAGCCATTTAAATAAAATGCTATTTCTATGACTGTGACTATGCTGACGTGGGCCTCACTGGAGCATGTGATTTGGAATGGGAACACTGGTTGCTTGGTGCTGGTTAATTGGTAGCATCGTAGGGAGCTGAGAGCTCCCCATCCACCCAGCTATAGCTACATTCACCTGCAGTAGTCAGTGTCCTATGCACACTGGCACTGCCACAAATAGGCTATTTATATCCCAGAGCAGGCAGGCAGGTAGACACACAGGCAGGCAGGCAGGCACATAGATAGACAGACAGAAAGACAGGCAGGCAGAATGGCAGGCAGGACGGCAGACAAACAGGTAGGCAGAAAAGCAGACAAGCAGGCAAGCAGGCAGGTAGACAGGCAGAAAGGCAGGCAGAAAGGGACACATTGCAGAGTGACACACTTAGAGATAGACCATCCCATGACAACCTGGCTAAGGGCCAGATAGCTACAGTACTTCTGGGTTATCCCATCACACCACAAAGAACATAGATGGGATGGACGTGCACTTATACACACATCATTAAAAATGTCAATAGAAATGTCTGGAATAAACATTGGGTATAGAACTGCGTGATCATTAAAAATATATTCAGATATGAATCTAATGACAGTGGTATAGGCCAAGAATGTGATGGTAGGAGTATACTCTTATGGGATTTTCCCTAAGTCTGAGTATCTACAGTATTTAAAATATATCTTCATTGAATCGGAATGTCAACAGAGTCCTTGCCAAGAGAGGTAAAAGGCAGAATAATCCCCACTGTGTCTATCACTGGTATGAGGAAAGGGAAAAGTATACTTACTACCTCCTCATAATCCAACCACGATGCATGAATTGCACTCTTGGAGGTATTGCCCACACTTTTGGAGGACAATAGAAATTGAAATTAGAGTTAGGGTTGAGCCCGGGGTGTGGACATGAAGCTAGGGTTAGGCTTATGGCTAGGGTTATGTTTGAACCGGGTATGGACATGAAGCTAGGGTTAGGGTTATGGTTAAGGCTAGGGTTAGGGTTGAACTGGGGTGTGGACATGAAGCTAGGGTTAGGGCTGTGATAAGGGTTAGCTTCCATCAGGGTACTGTTCTCTGTTTACAGTACCTGCTGAAGAAGCTGTGTTGTCCAGTAGATGTATCTCCATCATACGAGTCGCTCTGTTTCCTGATGAGGGGCTGTCTGCCCTGGCTGTGTTCATCGCTGGGCAGGGCCGAGATATCAATGTTGCTCTTACTCAGCCTCTTACTGGAGCTGAGGCCCAGGCTGGGGCTGTGACAGGGGCTGTCCTCATGGTTATCCTGTGTGGGAGGAAGAGAGCGTGGGACACAAGCCTTTACGGTTCACTCACACTCAAATACCATAACTGTACAAAAATAAGCAGCTCATTGCTAATCCAAGCTGGCTAGCTACCAGACCTGGGTGCATTTGAGTATTTGTATTTGAAATACTTATTTTCTGTGTATGAGTATTTTTCAAATAATATGGCCGAATCAACTATTCTATTTGAAGTATTTGAAAGTATTTTCAAATAATTTCCTATAAATAGCCTATAATTTCAAACTACAGTATGTTAAAATACTTGTTCCCAAATACATTATTTCAAATACCCCTAGGACCAAACAGACTCGGGTTTAAATGCATGGAGTATTTAAATATTTGTATTTGAAAATACACTTGTCTGTGTATTTCAGTATTTTTCAAATACATACCAATACGTTCCATGTGTATTTCCAAATACATTCTAATATTCAAGTACTTTCTTTTAAATGACTCTGAAAGTAATTGAAATACCCTAAAAAGTATTTGAACCCACGTCTGCTAACTACAGAGAGAGATTGATCCTGTTTTATGTTTGAGAGAGTAGTAGTGGGAAAAGTATATTTGAGGTTAGAGAGAGAGAGGGGAACTATGAGAACAGACAGAGAAGAATAGAGAGAGTGAGAAATAGAGAGAGAGAGAAAGGAATAGAGAGAGAGAGAGAGAGAGAGAGAGAGAGAGAGAGAGCAAGGGGAAGAGGGAGAGGGAGCGGGAGAGGGGGGAGAGGTTCGGACAGAGAGAGCAGCCCAGGCGATCATGCAGTGGTAACTGGGTGCAAACAAACAGGAAAAGACAGGCCAGCTTAGGACGGAGAGAGAGGACACCGAGTCATTTCAAGGTCTTGGCCTGGATAGCATAGGGTAGGAGAGATTGTCTGAGAGGAAAGCTGTCTGAACAGAGAAGATCTTACACAATTCTAGCTACACGCCATGGGGAGAAAGTTGAAAGCACAAACTGAAATTGTAATGCCTCAATTCAAAATTATCTTAGGGGCATCAAAAAGTGCAGTTTTACAGAACATGTTAGAGAGCATGTTGATTGAGTTGTAATGTGTCATGCTCCTACCTTGAGGCTCTCAGTGCTGTTGTTCCTGCTGCTGCTGTGGCTGCTGTGCTGCCTCTGGCTGCTACTACTGCTGCTGCTGAAACACAGGGCATCGAAGCACAGCACACCTCCCACACAGTCGCCCATCACACACACCTGGACGTCAACACACACACACACATGCACGCACAGACGCACACACACACACCGTTTTAGAAACCCTCGCTCCACTCAATCAATGTTGGCAGCCAAGCAGCCAGATTTGGGCCCTGTGCCTGTTCAGATCCACAGTCGAATCTGAATGTCAATAGCACACTTCATTAGGACTGACTCAGTCTGAGGGAACAACATATTTCTCCTTAATTGGTTTGACGTGCCACCATTGTACTTGGCTTCCTGACTTGGAATTGCGATATGACCACAAATCTTGTCAAAGTTATGCAAGGAGAGGAAGTTCAATATAATAGAGTTTATACATTGTATGGTTTTGCCAATAATGTGCTCTTGAAAATTACAGCGCTTAATTAGAACAGGTCCTTATCAAAGAGGGCATTGTCCACAGGTGTGTGAGAGTTAATGGGGTCTGCAGACAGCATGTTAAAGCTGCAGGCCTCTGGCGACATTAGTCCCCACAGTGAACACAGAGGATTACCCAGCCATCTCTATCCCAATCATCACTTCCTCTGGAAATCATTGGCTTCCATTAAACGGACTGCAGCACATTATTGGATTTGGCATGAGAGATTAAAGGGAACACTCTCCTCTTCTCCTCCCTCGTTCCTTACAGTAGGATTCATCTCCAGTCAGTCAATGTGACCCTGTGGGAGCCAGGGGGACACTTTAGAGGATGGACCCACTTGGACAGTAAAGCCCTTTATGGGGGCCACTTTAGAGGATGGACCCACCTGGCCAGTGAAGCCCTATATGGGGGGACACTTTAGAGGACGGACCCACCTGGCCAGTGAAGCCTTATATGGGGGGACACTTTAGAGGACGGACCCACCTGGCCAGTGAAGCCCTGTCTGGAGGGACACTTTAGAGGACGGACTTACCTGTCCGGTGAAGCCCTGTCCGTCCTGGGACGCGAGGAAGCTGTGGTAGACCTGGTTGGCACGGGTGATGAGGGTTGCCACGGCGTCCTGGTAGTGTGGCGCAGCGATGGCGAGGAGCGGGAGGGCAGCCAGGGGCAGGTGGTCAACGCTGCTGGACACACAGCTCTCATCATAGCTGTATGGGTTCAGACTGGAGGGGACAGGAAGGAGGGGGACACATAACCGAAAGTGAGTCATTTGTGAGACTTGAACAACAATCAATTAAATTCAATAAAAAAATTAAAAAACATTATTTATCCCAGTAAAATGACTTGTGTTGCCATAGTTTCGTGTCTTACATGGAGAATGGAATGTACCTATATGGTGAATGGAGATCCCTCTGACATTTATCAACAGGCATTCATTCATCAAGCGTTTCCACTGCACAAAAATGTAATGGGAAATGGAATTTAGAAAAAGTATTGTAATTGGCTGCTTCTGTTAATCCAAGGTTATTTTGGGAAAAAGAGCCAACAAAAGGATTTGTTACCCCGGAACGTATAAATATGATGAATGAGCATGTGGCTATTCAGCTCTCTCTCTCTCTCTCTCTCTCTCTCTCTCTCTCTCTCTCTCTCTCTCTCTCTCTCTCTCTCTCTTGCTCTCTCACTCTCTCTCTCAAAATCTCTCCAACTCTCTCTCTCTCCCACTCTCTCTACAGGTGCAGGCTGGCAGACTCTCACCTGCTGGCACAACCTCTCCTCTGCCTGTCTGATAGCACCCTACGCTCTGTTTATCAGATGTGTTTGTGTGCATGTGTGCGTGTGTACGCACGCGTGTGTCTTTTTTCTGTGTGTGACAGTGCTGCACGCCACAGCGTCCGAGACCCTTTATCCAACAGTGTGAGGAACCAGTGAAGGATAGCCTTGCCCCTGCCCGCTCTAACAGCTGTACCAACCCTATCGCCATCCTTCAGCAGCTCAGATTACAGGAGCTGGCCAATGCCGTACCCAAGCTTGTGTGGCCTACCACTTCGCGGCTGAGCCGTTGTTGCTCCTAGACGTCTCCATTTCACAATAACAGCACTTACAGTTGACCAGGGCAGCTCTAGCAGGGCAGAAATTTGACGAACTGACTTGTTGGAAAGGTGGCATCCTATGACAGTGCCACGTTGAAAGTCACTGAGCTCTTCAGTAGGGGCCATTCTACTGCCAGTGTTTGTCTATGGAGATTGCATGGCTGTGTGTTTTATACAAATGGCAACAACGGGTGTGGCTGAAATAGCCAAATCCACTCATTTGAAGGGGTGTCTCTTCTCCTTACAGTGTAGCTGTAAGGAGAAGAGACCAGAGCAGCCTCCCAATACAATAAGGGGGGGTGTCTCAAATTGCACCCTATTCCCTATATAGTGCACTACTTTTAACCAGGGCCCTAGAGCTCTGACCAAACGTAGTGCCCTCTATAGGGAATAGGGTGCCATTTGGGATGGACCCAGAGCCTGGAGGGACCAGTATCAAATCAAATCAAATGTTATTTGTCACATGTACTGAATACAACAGGTGTAGACCTTACAGTGAAATGTTTACTTACAAGCCCTTAACCAACAATGCAGTTCAAGAAATAGAGTTAAGAAAATGTTTACTAAATAAACTAAAGTAAAATATAAAATAAAAAGTAACACAATAAAATAACAATAACGAGGCTATCTACAGGGGGTACCGGTACCGAGTCAATGTGCGGGTGTACAGGTTAGTTGAGGTAATTTGTACATCTAGGTAGGGGTAAAGTGACTATGCATAGATAATAAACAGCGAGTAGCAGAAGTGTAAAAACAAAGGTTGGGGGGGGGGGGGGGGGGTCAATGTAAATAGTCCGGTTGGCCATTTGATTAATTGTTCAGCAGTCTTATGGCTTGGGGGTAGAAGCTGTTAAGGAGCCTTTTGGACCTAGACTGCTACCGCTTGCCGTGCGGTAGCAGAGAGAAGAGTCTATGACTTGGGTGACTGGAGTCTTTGACAATTTTTTGGGCCTTCCTCTGACACCGCCTAGTATATAGGTCCTGGATGGCAGGAAGCTTGGCCCCAGTGATGTACTGGGCCGTACGCACTACCCTCTGTAGCGCCTTACAGTCGGATGCCGAGCAGTTGCCATACCAGACGGTGATGCAACCGGTCAGGATGCTCTCGATGGTGCAGCTGTATAGCTTGTTGAGGATCTGGGTACCCATGCCAAATCTTTTCAGTCTCCTGAGGGGGAAAAGTTGTTGTCGTGCCCTCTTCACAACTGTCTTGGTGTGTTTGGACCATGATAGTTTGTTGGTGATGTGGACACCAAGGAACTTGAAACTCCCGACCCGCTCCACTACAGCCCCGTCGATGTGAATGGGGGCATACTTGGCCCTCCTTTTCCTGTAGTCCACGATCAGCTCCTTTGTCTTGCTCACATTGAGGAAGAGGTTGTTGTCCTGGCACCACACTGCCAGGTCTCTGACCTCCTCGCTATAGGCTGTCTCATCGTTGTCGGTGATCAGGCCTACCACTGTTGTGTCAGCAGCAAACGATGATGGTGTTGGAGTTGTGCTTGGCCACGCAGTCATGGGTGAACAGGGAGTACAGGAGGGGACTAAGCACACACCCCTGTGGGTCCCCCGTGTTGAGGATCAGCATGGCAGATGTGTTGTTGCCTACCCTTACCACCTGGGAGCTTTGAGGGCACTATGGTGTTGAACGCTAAGCTGTAGTCAATGAACAGCATTCTCACATAGGTGTTCCTTTTGTCCAGGTGGGAAAGGGCAGTGTGGAGTGCGATTGAGATTGCGTCATCTATGGATCTGTTGGGGCGGTATGCGAATTGGATTGGGTCTAGGGTTTCCTGGATGATGGTGTTGATGTGAGCCATGACCAGCCTTTCAAAGCACTTCATGGCTACCGACGTGAGTGCTACATGGCGGTAGTAATTTAGGCAGGTTACCTTCGCTTTCTTGGGCACAGGGACAATGGTGGTCTGCTTGAAACATGTAGGTATTACAGACTCAGTCAGGGAGAGGTTGAAAATGTCAGTGAAGACACTTGCCAGTTGGTACACGCATGTTCTGAGTACACGTCCTGGTAATCCGTCTGTCCCCGCGGCCTTGTGAATGTTGACCTGTTTAAAGGTCTTGTTCACATCGGCTACGGAGAGCGTGATCACACATCCGTAGCAGCTGGTGCTCTCATGTATGCTTCAGTGTTGCTTACCTCGAAGCAAGCATAAAAGGCATTTAGCCCGTCTGGTAGGCTCGTGTCACTGGCCAGCTCGCGGCTGTGTTTCCCTTTGTAGTAGGGGGTGTGAGGGGTGTCAAACACCCCCTAGGATGGGGTCTGCATGGTGTGAAGACCTAGCAGTATCCCTGTAGACACACTACCATTGATGAGAACATCCAGGAGAGAAATTGAGCTTCCCAGGTGGATGGCAAGCTAAAGCTGTGATGTCTGGCTGTTACTGTAAAGGGAGTAGCCCTGCTCTCTCTCTCTCTCTCTCTCTCTCTCTCTCTCTCTCTGTCTCTCTCTCTCAGCTCTCTCTCTCCTCTCTCTCTCTGTCTCTCCTCTCTCTCTCTCTCTCGTCTGGCTATCTCTCTCCTGTCTCTCTCTCTTATCTATCTCTGTGTGTCTCTCTACTCTCTCTCTTCGATCTTCGGTCTCTCCTCTCTCTCTCTCTCTCCCTCTCTCTCTCTCTCCTCTCTCTCTCTCTCTCTGTTCTCTTGAAAATGATTGCAACCATGTGTCTGTGGTGGGGAACATGGAGCATGAAACTGTGACACCACTATAATAAGACACCTACAGTATACAGGTGATAGGAACAGTTTTCTGTTCAGTTATTTCACAGGTACAGTTAGGCAATGTGCTAGGTAAAAGGTTCAGTTTGACTAGAATGTATCTGAAGCTGGTACAATGCCACCAGAATGGCCGACTGTCTGCTTTTAAAGCTGAGTACTGTAAGTACTTAGATTGTAACAGCGTTACTATATAGGTTATCCATCGGTAGTCACTCTCAAGGCCCTGTGTAATGTACTGAGGGCAAGGTCATAGTTATAGCTGTGCTGTGTCATGCTGTTCCTGTCGTGTTAACAGAGCCCTGTAGAGCCCCCTGCTGCTGGCACAGGACACAGACATTACCTTAACACTGCTGGCCAGGACACACACATTACCATAACACCCCTGGACAGGCGGTTACACGGCCAGGACCAAGGTCAAAGGGCACCTAGACACAACCCAACAAGACAACACAAAGCTTCTCTCGTCAGCCTGTTCTTTATTTATTTATAGAGATGGATAATTAGTAATCTACTTATGCAAACACCTGCTGTTGGTATTGCTGTGGGATGTTTATTCTTCGCCTTTATAGTGTCCAGACAATGCTTTGTTACTAAGTTTCACTGTAATTGGAAGTCGAATATACAGCTATGTTGTTGTTGGTTGAGTTAAAGTTGGGCTGGGAATCTAATTTCTTGGAGGAATGCAAGATGTGCTGTTTGTTTTGTAGAGAATCAATATAGCTAATTAGAAGTAGGGAGACAGCCACCTGTTCTTCCAGGTGTAAAATGATTGCTCAACCAGGGGCTCATAATTAAGATCTTAATTGCAATAGGAATCAGGTTGGATTCTCCAGATTCTCAATGAAGCCCTAAAGATACTCAAAAGAGGCAAAAAAGCTAATGAGGTTGACATAGCAACATCAATACAGCAAACACTGTAAGCACTGTCAATAACTGTCTCAGGAGGCTGAGACTATTGGTTCTCATCTTTCTCAGTCTGCCACATCAACAACACAGAGCCTAATGGCAGCACAGTGGGTTTCAAGTCTTGAGACACTATGAGAAAGTATCTCAGCTGTGTGAGATAATGACACGCACACACACACACACACACACACACACACACACGTTCTCATTAGGAGAGTGTTCATGCTAGCCGGGGTAGAAGCTGGGGATATTGTCACGATCGTCAGGGAGAGAAGTAGACCAATGCGCATCGTGTTGAACGAACATGTTTAGACTTTATTTAATTAAAGCACGAACAAAACAATAAACGACTCGTAACGTCCAACGGTAACAAAGACCGACACGGAACAAAAACCCACAAACACAAAGGGAAAACAGACAGTTTAAATATGGCTCCCAATCAGAGACAACCAGCCAACAGCTGACACTCGTTGCCTCTGATTGGGAGTCACTCAGGCAAACATAGAATACAACAAACTAGAATGAACACCACAGAATG